GGGACATGGGTCGAGGCGGGCAGGCGAAACAGGGGCTGCCGGTGCGCGGCGCAGGCGGAGGGCCGTGGGCGGCGCGCAGCAGGATAGGTGATTGCCGCCGATTGATCAACACGCACGTGATGCGGGCGCTACCACAAACACACCGACATACAAGCACAATTGCGCATGCACGACCGCACGCATGCACACCCCCAACGCGTTCCCTCACCTGCAGGTGTGTGAGCAGGCCCAGCCAGTACACATTGTCCTTCAGGTCAGACTCGTGCCTGATGATGGGTGACGACGGGGTGACAGTGGGGTGACAAAGGGGAGTGTATGAAGTGACAATTGTGGAAGAACGAGGTGACAGCAGGGTGATGAACGGGTGACGGTGGGCTGACAAGGGGGAGTCGACAATCGTGGCGAGGTGAAGGGGGAAGGGCTGTGCGCGGATTGAGAGAGGGTCTCAAAAACGTTGTTGAACGTCACATACAAACTGGGCACCTGCAGCACCTAGCTTGTCGCACCAAGTCCAAATGCGATGTGAAGAGCACAGACACAACGCACGCGCACGTACGATCGCCCAACACTCGACACACACACACACACAAACAGGCAGCCGCGCACCGCGTGATGAGCGTGCGCTTGGCGCGCATGAGCTCCCGCGCGGTGACGGGCGAGGCCCGCAGCTCCCGCAGCACGGCCAGGCTGGCGGCCAGGGCGTCGTGTATCTTGTCCGGGTATGACGTCACGTTGACGCTGAACCAGCCTGGGTGGGTTTTGGGGGGGAGAGGGGTGGTCATGGGGGGAGCGGAGGGATAGGATGAGGGTGAGGGGATGTGCATATGTGTGTGTGTGGGGGGTGTGGGGGGGGGGGAGGGTGTGCACTGAGCTGATGCAGAGAGAGATCACGCTGCAGGTCGCCATGAGCCGTCGTGCGTTGCGCCCGCAAGGGCGCGCGGTCAAACGCGGTCAAACGCGGTCAACCGCGGTCAGGCCGTCCACCTGTGCGCACGCGGTCAAACATCATGACCTCGAAGGACACATCGTAGGTGAGGCCCAGGGAGTCGCGCACAGTGGTGAACAGCCGGCTGTTAATGACCTGGGAAGGGGGGTGTTGAGGGGCAGGGTTCAGGGGTCAGGCTGCGGGGCCTTCAAGGGCACAGCGAGGGGTCCGGGTCCCGACCGATCAACAAAGCAATCGATCAAACACCCCTTGTAAGAACTTGCGAGCCAGCAAGCTCGCCCCAAGTCAAGGAAGAGTTTACAGGGGGCAGCAACAAGAGCCAGGGGCCGCACCTCTTTGAGGAGCTCGAGGCTGATGGAGGCGTACAGCGGGTGCCGCCGCCGCCGCTCCCGCGCCGCCGCCACGTCCGCCGCCGCCGCGCGCGGCGGCAGCGCCGGCGGCGGCACGATGGGGCCGGCGAGCGGCGGGAGGGGGTCGCGGCTGCCGAGGGGGCCCCAGCGGCAGGGGGCCTGGCCGGCGATGTAGGCGCAGGCCCGCTCATCAGAGTCCCTGGGGTGGAGAGAATCGAAAGGATCAGATGCAATAGTTAGCAATTGGGGTTTTGCTTGACTGCTAAATTAGTTTGGTGGACGTTTGCTTTGAAGCCGGGGGGGCCGGATGGAAGGCAGCGGGGAAGGGTTTGAGAGTGTGCTTTTGGTAAGGTCAGAAGGGCGGGAGCTGGACACGTCCGTCGGAGCCTGGGGGAAGCGCCCCGACAGGGGGCAGGGCGGGGCGGCCGCCGCGTTGGGGCGTCTTGCGCAAGCGGAGCGCATGGAAAATGCATGACTTGAGGTGGCGGCGGGGCGCCGCAGAACAAAGCACTTGCAGGACACCCTGTACTCGAAACGAACGCCTTTGACGGGTGCTGGTCTACAC